CCTGACATGCTTGTTTTTTTATTGTTGGTGGATCAATAATTTCTGGTGCTTCCTCTTGGGGATATTCTTACAAGGCTAATAGCTTCTAGCCACGTCTGACCTTTCCTTGCATGCCCTTTCCACTCCTGTCCTTGCCATTTCTTCAAAGGCTAATCATCAGTTCATCCCCCAGTCCTTTCTTCTTTCTAGAGTGAGATACCTACGGCTAAGTCTACTCCGGATATTTGGTGGGGACCTCCATACAGGCACACGTGTTCACTAATTGGCAATGCACACCACTAGCCACTCCACTTCCATGTTCAGTTTAGGGTGATAATATCAAAGTCTTATAAATGCCTTAGAAGACAAGGGCTAAGGAAGGTTCACCCCTCTGGGTAAGCTTGTGCTCTCTACTCCACTCTAACTATATGAACAACTTTTTTTTCTGAGCTATTCTATTTTATAAACATATCATCTTAAAAGAGCATATTTAGAGTTAACCTATTTGGCTTTGTACTAGAATTTATTCTTGTACTAGAATTTATTTTTGAAAATAAAACCACTCAACGAGGTACACTTCCCATACAAAACACTAAAACTAAGCTCTGAGAGGCAATTTAAGAAAATGTTCCCTTTGCTGCTCATTTTTAATTGAGGCCTCACAGCTAAGGCTCTCTGTGCCATAATTTGAACACAAGAAGATGGGATCGGAAGAGTCAATATGAACAAGTGCTGGGAACAGGCTGGACCAAACAAGGACTGGCAGATGGCTTAGGAATTACCTTTGTAATTCCAGTGGCAGAGAATCAGTCAAATGCTGACACACTCTGTCCCCATTCTCTGTACAATCACTCTTCGTGAGAGGTGCAGAAAAGCCACCTTCAGCAACACTACACCATGAAAGAATTTCTCTATGGAGGAGGAATTTTCGACAGATAAGTCACTTCAAGCAATACTTGAAGGCTGCCAAACAACTTTAAATCAGAGAACATAGCCCAGTGCCTGTGCTGTTTTATTACAGTGACAGCAAAATATGTGCTCATTAAAGGTTATCTTTTTCTTTGAAACTATTTACACTTGTTGACATGCAGGAAATGGTCCTAACAGAAAGTATTGCTTTTGGAAAAGTAAGAATAGAAGATCAAATCCAAAATGGGTTTGGAAGTCTGAAAAAAAAGTCTTTCGTTCTTTCAGCTCTCATTGCCACCACTAACATTTTCTGGCTATATTGCAGAAATATAACAATGTGTTAATACAATAAACCTTACCTTTTTGTTGTTGTTGTTGTTACTTTTTTTTTTTTTTTTAAACCTTTTTTAACTTTTTTTTTTTTTAATTGAAAAAATATTACTGACAAGACATGGTAAGCAATGTGTCATTTCACCTCATACATACTTAGTATACTGGCATGTTCAGAGTTCTCACATTTCTCTCTACTAACCAGGCTCTGCATCCAAAAAAACAGCAAAACCAGTTATGTCCACAATGTTTGCTTTCCTTTATTAACTGAAAGTTGAAGGACACAGAAATAGTAAGTCCCTTATACAGATCTCATCAGCAATTGATTCTGTGAATTTCATGTTGAAGACATGATTTTCCTGGAAGGAAAATTTAGTTTCTGTAGAAACGTTCAGTGTAGAAATTCTAAGTTCATTGTATGTTACTTGAAATTGGCAATTACTGTTATGTAATTTTAAGAAGAATGACTGGATTTGTTTAAGACTGGATTTGTTTAATAAGGTCTGAATTCAAAAGTTGAAAAAAAATAAAAAAAATCTTTTTCATCCTGTGGTGTGTGTTAGGTACCAAATGAAAAATTAATATAAACAAACAACAAAGCGATGTTAAGAGGTTAGAATTATATTATATTCTGATTAAACTAACAATTAAACTAGGAAAAGCAGACACCTGTGGGGAGGACTGTAAATATCGTCAAATGTGATAACGTCTCTAAAAGACTTATGCTTTGGTTTAGTTTGAGGCTAGTCATATAAACGTTAATGGACTAAATTCAGCAGGGGAAAAGCCTTTGTGTGGGTAAGGCCTGTGCTGACACTTACCTGCATTTTAATTATACAGTCACCCTTCAGGTCAGCAGATACTCTTTGAACTCCCAAATGCAGGTGAAGGGGCAAAATAATGATGCTGTGAGTGTGGAACAAATGAGATAAGCTTGCTACAAGTTGCAAGAAACTGAGAAAACATCATTGTTCTTATGTTAATATGGAAGATGACTGTGGCTTTTATCTTCCTGACTTTTTCACAGACTTGGTTTATTTATGATTCTTGTAAACTCAATCTGTTATGTAAATTTCTTCTCCACGGATAGTTTTCATAGGAAAGGAAACACATTCTGTACTTTAGGCAACGATCTAACTTGCCAGTCAGTGAAAGCCATGATTAAAAATGGCATGGTATCAAAAGTTACTGTTACACATGTGCTACCTGCAGTCCAGATACAGGCAGATATCTAGTCTTTTTAAGAAAGTAGATTATTAGATGGCAGAGTAGATTATTAGATGGTAAACTTTTGAATACTTCAGCGAAGTTCATATACAAAAGATGGCACCTGTGACTTATACAAAAGACACTGATATATATGAAGTCTTAAAAAAGACCAAAAAAAAGATATCTAGTCAATAACTGTATTGTTATATCAGTAATAACTGAAGTACCTGTATTACAGTGCACAAAGGCGTAGACCTTTTAATCGAGATGTACTGATGTGCTTTTAATATGATACTTCTAGATCTAATTCAGGTGAATGCTGAAGATTATTAGATGTATCTAGAGTGAAGCCTGGTGAGATTGGCAATGCCTCTGGTTCATATGATGGACACTTAAGGACTTAATAGAAAAAGTAATTCTCTGATTCAATTTTTCCTCTCTGGTTGATGATACAGGCTCACAGTAGGGCTGAAAAGTAGTGTTATCTCATAGCTGGAAGAAAAGGAGAATACGTCATACACTTTGATGATTATTCAGTGTTTGAAAAATTGTCCCTCTTTAGAGTCTTCTGTATAGGAACGGGCCTGCGAATGCTTGTACCATGTAGAAGGGGAGTGCAAAGTATAAACCTTGTGAAGCTGAGGCAGGCACCCACCTTCTGACATATCAGATAAAAGCTGGGCTCCTAGGTGCCTTCACAGGCAGTAACATGCTGGCTACAGAGTCTGAGTCAGTTGACAGAAAATACCAAAGACAGAAACATGCCTGAAACACTTGTCTCCACGTGGTCTCATGTCAAAGATTGTGGCTGAAAAAGTCAGAAATCAAGGTTTAGACAGTTAAACTCACCTTTTCTGCCTTGACTTCTGAAAGCAATTAGTGACACTATTCACTTGAGTAGTGAGAGAGGAGAAATGTGTCGCTCCCCTCAAGGAGAATGAGAGTCCACCATTTTTCATGGGGAGCAAAATGCAAGTCTCTGAGCCAGTAAGCACAGGCACACAGTGTAACTGTACGCAACAGACCTCCTCCTCTTCCTAGAGGTATATGTCCAAAGGACAGGATTTGTCCCATCAATGAGATTGATGCATGTCACCCTCCTTTGGAGGGATTCCAATTCACTATGAAAAGAGCCATGACTGGCAGTTTAGAACAGTAACCCAGTAACAAGTGACATTCAGAAAGCCACTGGTGGTTAGTACATGGTAGCAAGGATTTCATTTAAAACAGAGGGTAGCAATGAATTCCACTGGGTAATGCTGAAATGAAATTTAGCATGCCAAGATCCGACTGGTTTGTGAGCCACCAAGTGGCCATCTTGATGGCTTACAGGATGTACAATGGAGGCCTCTTTCTGTGGGGGTTCACAGGTTTAGCAGGGCAGAATGGAGTTGCTCAGATTTGCTCAGAAATAAAATTAAGATGGGGTTGGTCCAAATCAAGTCCTATCAGGCTAAAGTGGTGGTCATGAATGAGAATGAATGCTCTTATTTCATCGTATCATCATTGCTGTAAGAAACACTGAAGTAAAAATTTCTGTAGAACTAGTTAACTGTACTTTGTTTCCTTCCTACCTTTCTTCAGTCATCAAGAACAAAAAAAAATTCCTAACCACTATGACTAATGTGCTTAGCTTCAGCTTTGAAAAAAAAGAGAAATGCCACAAAAGCTTCTTTCGTAAACTAGATCTTTTTATGAATAGCTATAGTTCAAGGGTTTTGTTGGGTCTGTGCTGTTAGAAATTAAACCACATAAAAGTGCAATTTGTCCTTAAATACACAGAAAGAAGAGACAAAATATAGATAAAAAAGACAAAGAAATACACACACTGTTCTCTGAAAGTAAAGTGCCACATTTTTACTAGATTAAAAAAAATATAATTCTGTTCCTTTCAGAAACGTATGTCTACATGTTTCACCCATTTTAAACAGCTAAATAAGTTTGCATGTTCTAAAATCTCGGCTTTGAGAATTGCTTTAGTAGTGGACTTAACTAGAGCATGGGCTGCATGAGGCATACAGAAGCCACAAAGGAAACACAAGCAAACTCTGATGTCACTCTAATGCACTTTTTTTTTTTTCCAGAGGTGTGTTAACAATTTTTACACTGAAGAGAATTGTCCTTACTGGATCTATCTACAGTGTTATTTTTATTTTAAATAAAAGTTGTGGAGATGATGATGGTATAGCTGCTTAATTTTACTGTTATTGAACCTATTTCATTATATGCATGTTGACTGAGTAAATGCCCCTGAACCTTCTAAAATGTGCTTCTAATCACATCAGCATTACTTATTAACTAAGGACGTGACTCTGTCATTCACCCACTCTTTTTCCTAGCTTATCATTGCATGTGTGTCAATAAGAACAGTTATTTTTGCTAATAATTTAATTTATCATAAAGGAACACATTTCCCATGATGGTTGCTTACTTAGCTGAATGTAGCAGTACTTCCACCTTGCAGTTCAGTGAAAGCAAAACTCAATGGAGGGCAGGCTGGGGAGCGTGGATTCTAGTAAACATTTTGCCTCAGGGATGTTGTGTTATCTTTTCTTTCTCTTTTTCCTCTTCAGGGAATTTTCGTCCTAGGATTGCCATATGCTATTCTCCACAGTGGATACAGTGGCCTGTTTCTTATTGTCTTGGCTGCAGTGTTATGCTGTTATACAGGCAAAATTCTAATCACTTGCCTGTATGAAGAAAATGAAGATGGGCAGCTCGTAAGAGTGAGGGACACATATGAAGACATTGCAAATGTGTGCTGTAGAAAGCTATCTCCAAACTTAGGTGGTATAGTTGTCAATGTGACCCAAGTAATGGAACTGATCATGACATGTATTTTGTATCTGGTTGTTAGTGGGAACTTGCTGTTACACAGTTTTCCATATGTACCAATGACTGAGAAAACTTGGTCTGTAATTGCATTTATTACATTGCTGCCTTGTGTATTTATCAAGACTCTCAAAATTGTTTCCAAACTCAGCCAGCTTTGCTCCTTGGTTCATTTCATTATTCTCTTTGTAGTGATGACTTACTGTCTCACACAAATACATCAGTGGTCCTGGGCAAAATTCAAACTCTCAATTGAGTTTGAGGACTTTTTGATTTCTATAGGGGTGATCATTTTCAGTTACACTTCACAAATATTTCTTCCCACACTTGAAGGTAACATGAGAAAACCAGGGGAATTTAGGTGCATGCTGAATTGGACTCATTTTTTTGCTTGTGTCTTGAAAACAACCTTTGCCCTGACTGCGTTCTTAACCTGGGGTGAGGAGACAAAGGAAGTTATTACTGACAACCTGCCATCATTTCTTCAAACCCTAGTGAATTTGTGTCTTTTAACCAAGGCTCTTCTTTCTTACCCTTTGCCCTTTTTTGCAGCCACAGAAATTGTGTATGCTTGTATTTCTAGAGGCAACTATTCCAATTACAGTTCTCCACTGTTTGCTCTGGGTCTAAGAGGCTCATTTCTCCTGTTAACTCTGCTGATGTCCATGTTCATACCACATTTTGCCCTGCTGATGGGTTTAACAGGCAGTATAACAGGTGCTGCTATGACTTTTCTTCTTCCTTCTCTCTTCCACTTAAAACTTAAATGGAAAAAACTATCCTTCTCTGAGAAATGTGCAGATATCTCTGTTTTTATTTTGGGTTTCCTTTGCAGCCTTGCAGGCATAGTTTGCTCAATAAGAGGGCTACTTAAAGTATTTGGAGAAGGGTAAAAAGATTTTCAGAAGGCCAAATAAGGCCCTAATCTTACAAACACTTTTACCCTGTTAGTCAGTATATAACAGATTTTATCAATAAGTAAAATTAAGCATATGCTTAAATGTTTGTAGGATCAAGGCATTAATTTGTAAAAGTATGTGGTTCTAACCAAACTGAAAAATAATCTTTATAGCCCAAATGTACAAAATGACCCACATTTAAAATGTTGGGAGGAAGGAAGTTGTTTGAGATGGTTCGACATCAAAATAATATTAAAATAATACTATGTATTTTTGTTAATACAAGACATGCACATCCTAAAAAGGTTACTGCAAGGGATACCAATCTCACCAGAATGTCTCACAAGGTTAGATCCTGCTCTTTCTCAAAACTATGAAATCTAGCTTAAAGGATATGATAGAGTTTGAGAGAACTGTCATTGCAAATTGATAAAATGTAATTTCACAGCATTGGCAGAATGTAATCCAACATGTGAACAGAACAAATCAGTGAATTCCATATTAGATGTAAGACAAGCTCTACTACTTGTTTTTCAAGCAAGTAGGCAAAAAGAGAACTCAGTTTATAACAGCTTTGAAAGCCTGTTTTTATCATGAGTTCAGATGGGAATTGTCAAAGTAAAAGGGACATTCTAACAACTCACAGTCATGGAAAAGGGAATTTGTTCTAAAAGAAGCTGTAGCTGATGACTGCAGCTTTTCTACAAGTATAATTCCTAAGATTCATGCCCCCGCAATGCAGTTATTCTATTGGTTGGGTTACAACAAGTCTCATTGGTAGCCGGAATAAGTTAATATGCAGTTCACTTTCCCTCTTAGGCAGGAAATTTCTTTGATCTTTTTATTTTATCTGATGATACTAAAAGCTCAATGAAGTAAATCAAGTTCAATAAACAGACACTCAGTTAACTTTCTATACAACTTACTGGATCTTTAGCTTTAAAAGATATCATCTTAATAAAAAGATCAGCATCACAATGTATTTCACTTTAGGGATAAAACATTATGACAAGAAGCAATCTAATCAGAGTACTTTAATGAATACATATCATCTTATTGTACTAAACTTATGTTATGTTAGGTAATTAAAGTAATGGTTTGAGAAAGAAAGTCTGCTTTTTCTTTACGAACAATTTCACACAATCTTTTACTCTGTTATATAAAAAACCTTTGCAAGTCAATATGAGACTGGATCACAGAGTAAAAAGCCCACTAGTAACTGCTTAAGTAAACTATTTTTCTATGTAGCATCTTAGCGTGAATGTTTCTGTCCTGCATGAGCAACAGTGACCTCTCAAGGCTTATGTGCTGAATGATAAATAACATGCAATTAAATTTAAGAGAGTCCTAATAAGCTTTGTATGTCACCCTCTTCCTTTCTTTGTCTCTTAATGTACACTTGTCATGCATGGAATAGTGATGAAATCATTATTAGAATTAATGTATTATATAATTACAAATATATTAAGAAAACTGATGAATTAACTAGTTTTTTAGAACTTGCTTTATTTCTTTGTTACAATGGGTCAAATTCTGCACTTATCTTAAATCCACAACAGTTTAATTCATTGATACTGAGATTTGTACTGGAATGAATAGAAAGTATCCATTTTTTAAGAAGTCTTTTTATTTTTGTGTAGAATGACAAAGACTCAGTGAAGTAGCTGAAAGCCTGTTATTACCCCTATGACACGGTCAGAATGATATTATTACTTGGATGATGTCAATGAAAGGATGTCATTACTTATTGTATGGAGAAGTTTCACAGATAAACAAATATACAGGAATAGTCTTTGTTGTAGTTATTCTAGGTAAATCTCTGAGGACAAAGAGTGATAGTCCAAAGAGCTCTATAAAAATTCTTTCAGCTAGTTTACTTAACAACTCTCCACAAATTATTCACCTTTATTTTTATTTTTTTTTCCCCTCTCATCTCCTATTCTTATTTAATGGCTTTTTTACTCTGACTCTTTAGAAATTCTTGAAATTGCTACCCAGGAAGGCTTGGAAATGGGATAAGTAGCTTTTTATATGGCAATTTTAGGAATTCCGTGGCTTATCAATGTGATTTAAAGCTGTCTTTAGGTGGATTTTTTTCTCTTAGCCTTTTCAGGAAGCCAATGCCTATTCCTTTTAAGCCAAAGATGGTCATTTCCCCCACAAACATGTGTCACTTATGTACATTTTTTCCTACCAAGGGAGATGATTCGATGATTCATGTTTTGTAAGATGAGTACTTATCGCCCTTATTTAATCATTTAATCACTTAACATTAAGGAGCTGCAGGGACTATTATTAATCTATTATTTGACCACTCCTGAATTATTCATTGTAATATTTTATGGTGCTTTATCAAGTAAATATAACTGTAAATGCACAAAATTGAAAGGAATGTCATCCGAGTGGAAGGCCTTGAGAAGTCACTTAGCACACACCACTAGAATAAGAGAGGAAGTGTAGTTCAAGATTCCTTTTTTGTGACCAGCACTCAGCAATTTTGAAGTGTGTCATTGTTGTAGGACACAAAAGCTGTATGAGCTTCCCATTAAAGCCGTGGCCAGACATCTTCAGGAGAAACTGTCTTCAGGGGTCAACAAGATTAAATGAACCTTCAAACTCAGAAAGGCAAAGATACACATACAGCTGAAGCCTGAATATACTCAGCACATGTTAAAGACAAAAGTAAATACACATCATATAAGGCTGACTCATTGAAAATTCATTTCCTAAAACACACAAATGCATAATTTTATTTATAAACTTATTTCTGAATTCTTTCCAAAGGCAAAATTCTATCAAAATGTACATAAAATATTTCAAGAAGTCATAGAATCACAGAATATTTGGGGTTGGAAGGGACTTAAAGACCATTCAGTTCCAACCCCTCTACTATGGGTAGGGGCACCTCCACTAGAACAAGGTTTCCCAAAGCCCCATCCAGCCTGGCCTTGAACACCTCCTGGGATGTGGGAATCCACAGCTTCTCAGGGCAACCTGTGCCAGTGCCTCGCCATTCTTATACTAAAGAATTTCTTCCTTGTATCTCATCTAAATCTACCCTCTTTTAGTTTAAAGCCATTACACCTTGTCCTATCATTACACTCCCTGACAAAGAGTCCCTTCCCAGCTTTAGCTTAAATTTTCAACTGTCCATAGTAGACATTAAGTTCCATCTATATAAATGTCTAGAGAATCTAGGAAAGACGGAATTACTAGGAATTACAAACCAGAAGGCACTGCATTTATCTGTATAATGACTATTGGGTGTTTTTGTCACTAAATTTGTACTACCAATCATTAGAACCACTGAAGCTAGAAAAGTAAAAGACTGACTAAACATTATTAATCTATTATTTGGTCTCTCCTAGATTATTCATTGTAATATTTTATTGTGTTTTATCAAAGGTTATTCCAAAAGGGAAAAAAAAAAAAAAAAAAAAAAAAAAAAGCAGTAGTAAACGTGAGAAAAACATGCTAAGGAACAAATTATATACTGAAATAAAGCATTTACAAACAGTCTTGCCTCATTTATTGTGCCAGCAAAGGTATAAGTAAAGGATCGTGTTTTCATTCAGCAAGAATATCACAAGCGTTGTTCAAAACGCTTCTCCCATTTTATAGGGATTGCAGTGACAACACCACCAGACTCCAGATTTGTAGTTCTGGAAGTAGTTATGCAGATTCAAGTCAATCAGATAACTCTAAAATTAAATTGTAGGATCAACTAACATATCTCCTGCAGGTAAGCTGAGGAGCTTCAAGTGTTTATTTAAGAAAACTTGCAAAAGTTTAAATCTAAAGTTAGGGTGAAAACCTGTCTCCAACTGTCTCAGTGGAACTATAATCATTGTCTTCAGTGGACCAAGTCTATAATGTTTATAGTCCATTACCAATGTTTAATTCACTTTTACACCAAAGCTTGACTGTCACTTACTTTATAACTGGAGGTTATTTTCCACATTATCACATCTTTTATCTTTTTCCAGTAGTGAGATAAATGTTTTCCCTCTTGATGCTACTGATATGTTAGAGATACATCAAAAAAGCCATTGAAAGAAATTCTTGAGGCTAACACTACTTCATTAACTCTTCATCTTTGATTATTCACTTCATTTTTATTGGAAAGTGAATTCTGAACTGTGTGTAAGAAATACACTATTTCTTACATTAACTGGCTACTCTAAAAATATGGTTGTACAAAACTGAAACAAATCTGGTATCCTGTCTATTTCATTATATCAAGTTTCAATTTTCAGTATTTCTTTTCAGATCTACAAATTTTTAAAAACTGATAGCTGATTTTTACAGCTAAACATTTGTTCAGTTCTTCTGCATTATTAGTAATAACCTGGAAGATAGATTGGTCTTAGAAAATGTTTATCTTCCAGAATTGAGTAGGAAAGGAGATGTATCTCGAAAACTATTTTGCTAGTATGTTCAGATTTACTTGTCCCTAGTGTTCACATGGGAAATAAATTCTTGGAAAAATTATTGTGTTGTCTAGTAGTTGGTAATGAATTTGAGAATACACAGTTTAGAAAGCACTTAAGCATTTTCATCCACTGCTTAAATATTTGTCAAGCTGTTGCCACTTTGCAGTTAACTATTTTTTATCCTTACGTGGTGCCATTGTTTTTCTTTATGCGATAACCTCTCAAACTTCTAATATATTTGTATTCACACAAATATATTTCCTGCCTCTTTGAAGGAGGAAAATACCAAAATCTCCATTTTACAGTTGCAAGACCAATACTCAGAATGTGGAAGGACACAAAATGGAGCACCAACAGAATTTAGGCAGCCAGCACTCTTAATACTCTTCTCTATACCACATCATTGTCATCCTCACAGTCATCACTTTTTTTTTTTTTTTTTTTTAAGATAGAAATATAAAGAGATTAGAGGAAATTAAACAGATATGTAATTATAGGGAAGAAGCAAATGATGAGAAAGGATGAAGGCACATAGGAGAGAAATTAAAAATCGAGCAAATGCAACAAAAAGGCAGAAGGGCAGAGGAAGGGAAAAGGGACCTGGGGTACTGGAACAGGAAAACGGGGAACTAGCAAAAAGTGAGGAGACAAAATTTAAGAAATTATGAGCAAGCAACAAGGGAAAGAAAAATCATAAAAAGGAAAAAACTCTGAAGGAAAAAAGAGGAAGGAAAAGGAGGGAAAACTGTCTGATATAAGAATAACATTGCCTGTAAACATTCCAGTAATTTCACACAAGCAGTAGTTCAAGCTTCTCTGCCTGATGCAAGTTGATATATTCTGTGTGAACAATTTTCATTCTTTTACTTCCTGATATCTCTGTTGAATTCAAAACATTTAAAATAAAAATATTTTATCTGGAACTATTGCTGTGATATTTAATGTTTTCCATTTTCTAAATGAATTAGAAAAATGCTGAATAAATAATATTATAAGCAAATTCTATTTCTCTGCATCCTTATTTATTCCACTTCCTGGCCTCTCCTATAGTATTGAGGCAGAGTTACACACTAGCCATAAAATGTTGCTGCCTTGTAGCCTCAAGGACAAAGCAAGAAGATCTTAAATTGGGAAAAGTCCTCTTCCAAAGAACACCACAGAGGGTCTTTTGCACTTTAGGCCAGAACCAAAGCTAGTATCTATGCAGTATTTCCAGTTTGGGAATGGTTTACATCTGCTTAGGTACCTGCTAGCAAACTCCAGCCAGGCTGGAGCTGGGAAAAAGTGACACTGTGCTTTACTTCTGTTGCTCCTCAGGTGCCACAAGATGTAAGTACCCCTGTGAGCTTCTTCAAATGGTAATGGGCACCTAATTAGCCTATCTGTTCCCTCAGAATCTTGCTCCAGAGAACTGGAGCAAGAGCCGGTTCCCTCCAGAGAGTATGTAATACATGATCAGGAGATCAGGCAACCTTGGATGTAACTTGAGTACTAATCCAAATTTTGCATGGATGCCTAAGGGAAAAAGATTTGCTCTAAGATCAAGAGAAGTCATACAGTACACTTCTGGAGCTAGCACTGATGCACTAATGATGGCACACAGAATAACAAGATAAAAAGAATTTATTAATAGCTAATCAAATAAATTAATGGGATGGGAAGGAGTAAGGGACAAGGATCATGAGGAACAATTTAGAAGTGACTAGAGAAAGAAAAAGCAAATGAAGATAAAAGGAACACAAAGAGTGCTGTAGAAGAGAGAGTGAAAAGTGTAAGGACAACCCTAATTTCTCTTTGTGCAAAACTGAACAGAATTTAAATAATAGATCAAATGTAAGTATTTTATTAAGCTTATCTTTTATATTTGTCTTCTGACTTCAGTGATAGATTCAAAAGGGACTGACTTTAACAGTTAAAACTTGTGTCATGGATTACTGTTTAAAACGCTATTTATACTTCCTACACAAGGAGCCAGATGCCCATAGTTAAATATGAACATAAAATTGTTCCTACTCAAATTGGAAAGCAAAGCAAAACAAAACAAAACAAACAAACAAAAAGGACAAGAGAATAATTAGTGATGAATGCAAAGTGTAGCCTACCTTAAGACAGGAACCCAGAGACCACAGGGCTAGGGGCCACGTCAACAGGTTACCAAATTATTAGTACTTTAGCAATGCTCCTTTGTTATAATAATGTAATAAGCAAAGATAAGGTGAAGGCAGAAGGATTAAAGGAGAGCACTCAACACACATAAGCCATGCTACATCTACCAAATTCCCAGCGCAGCTGCTTCAGGGATACTAAGCCTTATGCAGACAGCTGCATCCCCTTGTTGCCATCTGTGGCTTGCATCTCTGGTGCTACCACTCACGATGATCTACACAGTTGCAAAGGCATAACCCCCTATCAATAGAAAATATCTGCTCCCACACCTGCTTGCAGGGGGCATGGCTAGCACCCAGTCCACAAGATAGAAGAGCTTTCCTGAGATTTAATCAGCTGGTAATTAATCCAAGGAGTAATGGCTACAGAGTGGAATGTCTTGCCAGCTGAGGCATCAGATGGGAACACAGAGCAGGCATTAAGTTATCAGTTTTATTAGACAACACTAATCTCGTCCATTCAGACTTGCTAATTACACTTCAGGAGAAAGTTTTATTAAGTGTGGTATGTTGGGAACCTGAACTGGGTCAAATTTTGAAGGTAGGTCAATCTTTTTTGTGTGTGTTCCCAGAACACCTTGAGCACTGATTTCCAAAAGCTGTCTTATTAGAGCACAGAAACTCAGATGAACATACACACTTAAGCAGAACAGAAACAGAAGATTTATAAGAAAATTTCTCCTCTGGCTCAGATGTCATAATAGGAGCAACCTCTTCCTTCAGTCTTACCCTCAGTTCTGCAAATCAGAGACTTTCTGGTTTGCAACAAGTTCTACTATCTCCACTTGCTCCCTAGAAGAAGACTGCTTTCCATCACAGTTAAGTCCCAGTGAGGTGTCTGCTCCCTGGTTTTCTTGGATGTCCCCTCATTCTCCACTTTGTACTGTTGAGTACAAAGTACAGAGCAGCTGAGCCTCTCTCTCTCACTTGCACATCACAAGCAACTCACCCCTTTGTATTTTCAACAGCTTTCAGGAAAGAAACAAATTTACCAAGGCTCCACAAGCTGCTCTTAACCTAATGCAGCAGCCAGTGCAAGGGAAACATAAATGGGCAGCCTCCTAGTTCAGTGGTGCTGCTGCAGTGTGTTGCTTTTACATGATAAACTGCAAACAAGCAAATAAACTCACAGACTGGTTACCACAGATGGTCAGCTGAATAAAAAAATAACAGAAAAGTGAATGCTCCCACCATTTTTCTAACCATATTAATCACATGCCTTGCTGTTGTGGGCTCAACCCTCATCTTTTAGGAACAGAAGTCATGCAAATCAAAACAAATTACTACCAAATAAAATATAGCTGCTTGAGTTATTACAGGTAAACTCAACCTGATCTTGATAGTTTATATTTCACACTTATGTCTCACATGTTTCAAGCAGATGAAACCATGAAACTTCTAAAATTCTAATCAAAATCATTTAAACATCATACTTTTTTCTGCTCACAAAAATAAAATAAAATTAAAATAAAATAAAATAAAATAAAATAAAATAATAATCATCATAAATGTTTAATTATCAATCTTCCCATAACATGTCCAAAGAGGGAGCTCTAGTCCAGTGTCTCGTGCATCACTGGAGTCAAGAGTACAACAGTACTATTTTCAGAGTCCTGAAGCAACACCACTCAAGACAACAGACAATCTGCAGGAGTTTTGACAGTTGAGGCCACAGACCTCAGCGAGTGAAGGACTTGGATCAGAATTCCTGAAGAATTCCTGTAGAATGCCTGTCCTCTTAGGATGGACATTATGATCAGCTCTGAAGGACACTTCTGTGCTTACTGCAGAGCATCATCCCAATATTTTGTTAATTCAAGCCCATATTGCAGATCCAAACCATCTTACATGATTCAAGGCTACTAAGAATTACTTGTAGGCCTAACTTGTTTGCCCACCGAGAAACACAAAAGACTGACCTTGATTTTCAATAGCACTTCATCTATTTTATCTCCACAAGTTGGAAATACGGTGATTTGACAAGACCATTGGCTGAAACAAATGGAACATCTTCCCAAGAGCCCAGCTCTTCTGTCAATGAAGCATTACAGCTTAAGGTCTGATTAGGATTCTTTTAGGGTGATTGGACTGGTAAGCTTCTGGAATAGTGCTAAGCCAGTACAATTGGAAGAGGCTTTAAGGAGATGAAGCCTCTTAATGCCATATGGTTAAAAGTTTGCTTTGAACACCCATAAGTCTTTCTGCCTTCATTTTTCAGATCTGCAGACTTCTTCTTGGCTGAATCTGGGGATGTTTCTCTGACACTTCTTTCTTAGAGTAGAATAAGGCAAGCAAAGCCAAGGGATACTGATTTTTTTTTGTGGCAGAAATAGTGTCTTGGAGATGTGAACTTAGCTTGGGACTACTGTGTTTTACTGCTTGATGTTACTAAAACTACTGATAAAAAGATTGCTTCATTTCAATGATTAATTTCTGGTACATAATATATAATATATTATGTATAAGAAACATCATTTCATTCACCATTGAACTGAAACAGTATATAATATCACATATGAAAAATATATAAAATAAAGTACAGAATGGAATTGGATGAGACAAGATAGGTAAGAAAAAACAATTTTGTATCTTCCTGATAATATATACAATTGATAATTCAGGCACAGACAATTGTAAGACAAAAAATATTACTAATATTGAACACATTAAACATATGACTGAATTACAATATGATCAGTATCTTGCTGTTATGCAAGAATGGATACGTACAGTATAATCTATTCAGAAATTATAGACCTAAATCACATTTATTTTGCAGAAGATCAGCCCCCCCTCCACAATTTCAATAGCAGGAGCAGGGAACTCTGGAGGAAGGTACAACAAATCTGTAAACCAAGGCAGAGGCCTTTGAGGTCTTTGAATATGGAAATTCCTTGCTTCCAGAGTGTAAATCATACTCTTTGAAAACCTTACCTTTATGGACAAATATTATTTCAGTTAATATAAGAAGCCTATAATATATTCTAGTTTAAAGCTCTTGTAAGAAGCAGGTGGAAAGATTATCCAGAGTTGTTATATGATATGCCTACTGTGTGAAAGGCAAAACAGAGAGCAATCTGCTGGTTTAATTACAAGCTCAGAGCAAATGCAATATCTGCTGCTTTAATAAACATTGACCCTTTAACTGAATGTGCCCTACAAACACATTAATGCCCATCTGGGAAATAATCCAATGAAATAATCCAATCATATCAACAAGGAATGACTGTTAGATTGGCAAGTGAGGTCTCATATACTTTAGGCTGTAGCAGGCTGTTCC